CCCCACCCCGGCTCTCCCCCAGCCCCTCGTCCTCGCTGCACCCCGGCTCCTCCCGGCTCCCTCCCGGCCCCATCCCGCCCCCATTCCCACCCCCATCCCGGCTCTATCCTGACCCCCATCCTGGCTCTATCCCAGCCTCATCCCGGGCCCCATCCTGGCTCTGTCCGGGCTCCATCCCAGCTCCATCCCAGCCCCCGTCCCATCTCTCTCCTGGCCCCTGCCTGGCTCTGTCCCAGCCCCATCCCAGCTCCCACTCCAAGGCAACTTCCCTGGCTCCTCTGGCAGCCCCACGCCCCCCCAGCCCCAGTCCGACCCCAGTCCAGCCCAGAAGGGATCCGGGGACGTGCCTTGGTGCTGATCCCCGCAGTCCCCCGTGCCGCCCAGGAGCGATGGCCGTACGTGCCGGTGCCATGTTTCGCAGCCCAAACCCCGCCAAGCCGAGACCCGTCCCAGTCCTGTGTCCTGGGGCTGGATCTGTCCCGCTCCCTTCCCTCGGCCGGTCCCTTCTGGGGTCAGACCACCTCCGCACAGGGCCGCACGCGTTCGGGCCCCTCCACGTGCGCGCTGACCCCGGGCTGCGCCTGGGCAGAGGTGACCCCACGGGGCAGGACCACGCCGGCCCCTGTCCCGCCGGCCTCTCCCCGGGGATGCCCCGGCAGGCGGTGAACGTGCGCAGGCCTCGCCACCCTCCACGCGTGCCCGTCCGCTGCCTGGCGAGCAGCGCGTCCTTGGAGCGAGCCCTCTCGCCCGCCCAGCTGGGGGCCTGCGGGGGGCTCTTCCCCGGGGCTCTCCCTCCAGCCCCTGGGCACCCCTCCGGCTTCGTGGGTGGGCGCACAGCCAGCACCGGGTGGGGGGAACCATCCGCCCGGGCTGGGACAGGGCTGGGAGCAGGCAGGGAGCACGGGGTGGCTCCGGCGCGGGAGGGACCATGTCGGGTGCTGCCTCTGGGCTCTGCCCGCGGGCAGGAGCAGGGCAGGGGCACAGCCACAACCCCTGTGTGTCGGCAGAGCCCTTTCCACTTCCACATGGACCGGCAGAGCTCGCTGGAGACGCTGGTGGACGTGCTGGTGAGCGTCCTGCAGGCCAACGACTGGCGAGAGACCAACCTGGTGCTCTGCCACCCCTGGGATGTCTCCGGCTTCCTCAACCTCTGGGCCCGCCGCTCCCAGCTCTTCCTCCGCACCATCCTGGACCTTGGCTACCTGGATGAGGCCGGGGCCACCCGCTACCTCCGGCAGCATGGGGAACGCTTCAGGACCCTCTCCAGCCCCGTGCTGGTGCTCGGCTGCGACCTGCAGCGCGCCCGGCTCATCTTCCGGGCGGCCGAGGAGTTGGGGCTGCCACCGCAGGAGCTTCACTGGATGCTGGGCTCCCCGCTCAGCGCCGGCGAGCTGCAGACCGAGGGGCTGCCCCTGGGGCTGCTGGCCTACGGGGAGGTCAACCGGCCGCCACTGGAGCTCTTCATCCAGGATGCGGTGGAGCTGGTGACCCGGGCCATCGCCAGCGCCGCCCGCGTCCGCCCCGACCTGGCTCTCCTGCAGACAATGGTGAACTGCAACGACAAGCACCGGCCGGGCGCCGAGTCCTCGGGGCTCTTCCTCTCCCGGTAAGGAAGGTGCTGTGGGTGCCCCTGCCCCGGCTCCATCATACCGGGGTGCACGGGGGGGGCTGTTCCCCAGCCCCGGGATGGGGCAAGGGCAGAGCTGGGGGGAGCCAGGGCTCAGTGTGCAGAGCCTGGCGCAGTCCCCAGTGTGTGCAGCCGCCGCCACGGGGCTCAGCTGCCCCCCACTCCCCGCTGCCCTCCCAGGACACGATTTGTGCCGGCTGCGCGGGGGGACGTGTCACTTCATATCTCCCTAATGCTGCCCGAGCGCAGTTGCTCTATAAATATTAATAACGCTTGGCCCTGCCAGTGCGGCGAGCTGCAGGGCAGCAGGGCCGGATCCTGCTGCTCCTCCCTGCCCTTGTCTGCGCCCGAGTCAGGCACCTCCGGCTCCCAGCCCCAGGTCCCATCCCTCGGTCCCTTGGTCCCTCGGTCCCTCACTCCTCCCAGCCGCAGCCCCAGAGCTGGTGCTGCCGCAGCTGTGACACCCTCCTCCCTCCAGGTTCCTGGCCAACACGTCCTTCCACGGCCGGACGGGGCCCGTGCGCATGGAGAACGCGACGCTGGTGCGCGCAGAGCAGCGGTACCGCGTCTGGAGCCTGCGGCGGGGCCCCCGGGGGGGGGCCCCCCCGGGGGGGGGGGGGGCAAGCACCCCTTTTTCCCAGCCAGGAAACCCCAGCCGGGAGCCGCAGCAGCCCTACCCGCTGTCCCCCGTTTCGTTAGGGCCTAGCGGAGCGATGCCCCGGCGCAGACATCTCACTCCTGTCGC